GATAAAAACATAGAAAAGGGTATGACGAAATTATTCTGAGAAGGTTTCGGCAGGCATCTATAACGTGAAGAATAGATTTTTTATAACTAAAAAATTTCTGTTTTAAGAAGAATAATTTTCACTAAATTTCACAGGAAATCACAGAATATGGTTGATAATTTTCAAAATTTTGGCCTGATTTAAGATTTGCAAACATCGTAATGCTGGCTGACATTAAGTTTCGCCAGAATTTGCTGGCCAAATCACAGTCCCCAGAATATATATGAAAAATGAAAAAGGGAGGGGAGGGGGGGATGGCACATGCGATGAATAAATTATTTTATAAAATAATATTATTTTAAAATCATTACTAATATTAATTAATAAAAAATTTCATTATTTTAATTTTTTAATCAAAATATTATTACATAGTGTTGAAAAATTTAAAAAAAAATCTTTTAATAACTTTATCTTTTTTTTGATAAATATATTATTTATATATAATATCATCAGTTAAATATATATTGTTATTAACCCGATGGAAGCTGAGATTAGTTTATATTCTGCTTGTCACGCAAACATTAGATGCAGAATGTCTTTTAATTAAATACAAATATTTGTATCAGATCGACAGATCATTTCTAATAAGGGTTATGGTTTTTTTTTTTTGAGCAAAAAACTGTTTGCGAGACTAGCACGCGAGAAATCATTTTCCGAGATGGAACATTCACCTAGCGAGTATATACGATGTTTAGAATTTTTTTCTGGGATAGGCGGTTTGGTAAAATAATTTCTTTTTTTTTAAAAAAAAAAAAGAAAATAAGATAATTTATCTTCTTATTGTTGTTATTAATATTAGCATTATGCTTTCATTCTATCCGAAACTAAAGGAGAAGTTGTTGCAAGTTTTGATATAAATATTATTGCAAATTCCGTATATAAACATAATTTTGGGAAAGATCCTATTACTGTAAAGAAAACAAGTTTATATTTTTTTTCTCTTAAGATCAGAAATCATTATGACAAGGAACAAATTACGAATTCAAATATATATATATATATATATTTTTTTTTTAAAAAAAAAAGAAAGCAATAGATTCTTTGGTTATTAAAGATATTGAGAAATACAAAGCTAATTGTTGGTTAATGAGTCCACCATGTCAACCTTATACAAGAGGGGGAAGATATTTAGATGATAAAGATCAAAGAGCAAAGGGATTACTACATTTAATAGATATTTTGCCTAAATTATCAGATCCTCCTAATTATGTCTTTCTTGAGAATGTTTTGAATTTCGAGGTAAGTTGAAGTGATTTTTTAATGTTACATCTTTTTTTGAATTTAAAAGGACGTCTTCTTTTGTAATCTTTTAGAAATCAAAATGTCGAGAAAAATTAGTTACTCAACTGTGTTTAATGAATTATGAAATAACAGAATGCTTATTAACTCCATTACAATTCGGAATTCCTAACGATAGGTTGAGATATTATTTATTGGCAAAAAAACGATCTGATTTAAAGGATTTGATTGTACCTCATGAATTTTTGGAGAATGCTGTAATTCATTTAACTTGGCCGTTACCAAATATGCTAAAGAAAAATTATCAACAAGAAGATTATTCTAATATATTTAATATTCCTCCATTGAGCTCATATTTAGAAGAATTAGAAGAAGAAGGGATTAAAAAGCATTTGGTTCCAGAAAAATACATTTTGAAGAGTTTTAATTTTAGATTTGGTAAGAATTAAACTTTTCATCTTTTTTATTTTATTTTATTTTTTTTTTTAAAAAAAAATATATTTAACGGTTATAAATGTATTAGATATTGTTCTTCCATCAGATCACAAGTGTTCCTGTTTTACCAAAGTAAGGTGAATGTAAGATGTAAGATGCTTTTTATTAAGAATTATAATTAACGTATAGTTTTTCATCTTAGTCATATGGTAGCCATCATATATATTCCAGCGGAAGCTTGATTCAAACAAAAAATTTGGAGGTATGACAAGTGGCTTTACTAAAATAAAATGCCTTTAACTTATTAGATTTACCTTTAAAAAAATTTTTTTTTTTGTAGTTTACAAATTATAATTTTGAAAATCCATCATCTTTATTAGATATTGAGTTGAGATATTTTACACCTGAAGAGGTTGCAAATTTACATGCGTTTCCTATTAAATTACAACATTTTAAAGTGGTAACTTTTTTTGAAAATCCATTAAATGAAGCAACTTATCATGAAACATCAATTCCAAAATCATATAATTTTTCGAAAAATAATTATAAAGGATCATCTTTTGAATTTCCTGAGAATATTAGTACGCTGCAAAAATATAAACTGTTGGGAAATTCTTTGAATTGTTTTGTTATATCAGAATTATTAAGATGTATACTATTTTTATCATAAAGGAAAAAAATTGATTGTCTTTTTTAAATTATATCATGTGCGACATAATGTGGGTATCTCATTTTCTAAAAAGAAAATCGATGCTAAGGTAGAATTGGTAAAGATTTCATCATTAAATAAACCATTAAAGATTTTAAAAAAATTGTTTTGTTAAAATTTCTTAAAATACGATCATAAATGTTGCTAATTAAAAATTATTTTTAGTAACATAAATACTTAATAAAATAGATATGATGGATGCATGTCGCTTTATGCAAATTACTTTTTTAAATCAAATATCCTTTTTGAATAAATTAAAACTTTGAAAAATAACAACCCCCGGTATTCGTGTATGTACACATGACAATTTATTTTTGGATCGACTATAAATATTAAATACTTGCTTAATTTAATACATAATAATTTATATTTTTTTGTCAATTCATTAAAACATAATTGTGTATTTACCATTCTTAGGTTGGTAATGAAAATGAAAAAACAAAATTTTTTTATTATTGAAAATTTTTTTTTTTTTTTTAAAAAAAAAAGATCAAGATGGTGTAGTGATACATATACATCCTTTCATAGGATCCTATTTGGGATAGTATTACTCCTTAAAATTGCACAGGACACCACAGCGATATTTTAACTGGTAACTTGTGCATGTCCCCGAGTTTTTATTTGGTGTCAAGGAATTTCTTGAAAGAAAACCAAACGGAAAAGTCCGAAGATTATCTACATAAATGACAAGTTTTTTAATTTCCGTAAAAACTCCTTGAAACTATTAAAATTTCTTTGAATATAAAAAAAAAAAATTTATTATACATTAAATTAACCTTAATAAAACAATAAAAAGTCAATTTTACACAGCATCATTTGAAAGGAATTTGGTTAAATATGCTTGCTTTTCTTTCAAAAATTACCTTTCTTTGAATATCTAATCGGATCAAAGCACTCATTCTTCATGTTACATTAAAGAAAAAAACACAATGACTTTCCAAACGAATTGTTTGAAGACAATAAGGCTTGTTTTGTTTTGTACTTTTACGACTTTTACGTCAAAATAAAAAAATTTCGATCACGTGATTTTGGATATTTTGTTGACGAACATACAGAGACCCGGATTTAGGGTTTAGGATTAGGATTAGGGTAGAATTAGGATTAGTTAAGGGGTTTAGCAAATTTGTCAAATCGCGTCACATCCCAATTTACTAAGTACAGTAGTATCTGGGGACAAAAATTTTTTTGTGAGAAAAATGCTAATTGTCACAATTATATGTCACCCAATAAGTATGTGACCCGGCAAATAAAATCCGGCTACCATTTTTACGGGCCGTTATATTTTGTTTTATTTCTGGCCGAAGTTAAAAATTCAATACTTTTGAAGAACCACATCCTCAGTACCAAAAAAAAAAAAATATAAAAGATTATATGATGAGACTATGAGGTGACTATACGAGCCGAGCGCTTCGCAGTAGAAATGACCAAAGCTTATTTTTACTAAAGTAAATTTAAAGTAAATTTATAGTTTCTTTCTCTTTCTACTAAGCAATAATTCTGGTAAACTTTGTTTATAAAATAAAAATTTCTCATGATTGGTTATTTACAATTCGATGATAATTAAGTAATAAATTTAATAAACAAATATTTAATCGATCTAGATTCTGTCCAAATTTAAGGTTTCGATAAACTTTAATTTACGAACAATATGATTTATTTTCATGTCATGTGAAAAAAGATACTTGTGTTACACTCAAGTTATATAAAGAACAATTCTTAGTTAAATTCTTAACCTTTTTTTTAACACTTTTAGCAGGAGAGATTCTAGCAATTGACAATTCAATATAAAAGTGACCGTCATTTCATCATTTTAAGAATTCTCAAGACTTGTCATTTAATATTCAAGCTTTTGAAGGCTTGTTATAATATTCTGTTCACCCTCGATATACCGAATTCACTGTCAAAAGACAAAATCTCGTTATATCGAGAGTTTACCGAATGTCAATGAAAAATTATGAAATTGAAAAGATCATTTTTTTTTTTTTTTAGTTAAATTTCTTTACATTGAATGCAACAGGAATTGCTTTATGACAGATAATGATCCTGGTATGTGATATTGCCATTCAGTTAAATATCATTCTACCTTCCCTATTTGACATATTGGACAACCTAATTAAATTTGTGTAATATCAATTATAATTGCGAATGATGTGTGGTTATCTTTGCAACAAAGTAAAATGAGTTATCGTTTTTCCCGAAAATAAACCACCCTAATATTACGATCCTTTTTCACAATTTGTGTTGGTTAAATTGTGAAATCCTTTTGGGTGATTTTTTTTTCGGGAAAATATGTTTACATTGTAAAAAATGCAAGTTCCGAATGCAAGTGAATCTTTTTTTATTTATTGAAATTAGCTAAAGTAATTATTATTCCCATCGAGAACAAATCAATTCAAATAAATAAGACCAAGAATTTTATAAACAAATTGTCATTTAAATCAACAGAATCTATCTATGAATTCATAACATTCTTCAGTCAAGAAACTCCTTTATGACCTAAGATGGAACTTCTACAAGTATTATAAAGAACCAAATATTTTATTTGGTTGTCAATTTCAAATGAAATGATTTAGGTCTATTCATGAATAAATAAAGAAATATTAATATGATATCAAACATGGATATAAGGAATTCAACACACCGTTACAAAATCTCATACCTTGTAAGATAATCAAATCCAAATCTTGACTAATTTTTAAAGAAAAGAATTATTAGTATAAGGCAATGCGTTTATATGTTTGTTCATTTAAGCATTACCTACCAAAGTGCAGCCTCGGCCCGAATTCTTAACTCCTACCCAAGCCAAAGCTGGGTCAAGATCTATAAAATCAAACATATCAATGTTTTTAGCTATCAATATTTATTGCATTTACATATTTAATAGGACATCGAGACAGTTCGAATACAGAATATAAATAATTAACGTACAATCACAACGGTTCATAAACCAAGTTCCGGTATCGATTTCATTCCCAACGACTAGAGCAGCATCATGATCTTTGGTCCAAATACTTGCTGTAAGACCGAATTCCGAATCATTCATTAACCGAATAGCTTCCTCATCAGAAGAAACCTGAAAAGTCATAAATACATCAGATCGAATTCATAACAAATAAAATATGCGTAAATAAGCTTTATACTAACTTTCATGATTCCAATTACAGGACCAAAACTCTCTTCCGTCATGACTCTCATTGAGTGATCCACATTAACAAGAACTTGAGGTGCCATGTACGGTGTGTTTTTCTGATATAAATAAAATTGTTAGTAAATCGCTATGCATTAGGATTATGCATCAAATTTCTCAAATCACCTTATCTTGAGGGAATAATTTGATATCTATTAAAGTTTTTGCACCTTGACTAACTAAAAAAGTAATTGTACACGAGAATTTTAATTAGTTTGACTCATAATAGAAAAGTGTAGTTATTATACTAACCAGCTTCTTCAATCTGCTTTCGTACAAATTCTGCAGCTTTGGTACGAACCATTGGTCCAAGAGTTGTGTCGGGTTCCGTTGGATCACCCAATTTATAATGCTAAATATTTAAAAACACCAAACGTTATTCCCATAAATTTAAAAGGATTCACCTTAAATGGAAAATAAATACCTTTATTAATTCTACGAATTTCTGAATAAATTGATCATATACTTTCTCATGAACATAAATTCGTTCAATTGCACAACAACATTGACCACTATTGAAGAATGAACCATCAACAAGTTGTTCAGCAGCGTAATCTATGTCAGCATCATATCGTACATATGCAGGATCTTTTCCACCTAACTCAAGTCCTGTTGCTAAAGGACCAAGAAGAGAAAAGAAGACATGTCAGTTAAAAATTTAAAAAATTAAAAACAACTTTTCATCATTACCAATGAATTTAGTACTGGCAGCCCTTTGAATTTCTCTACCACCCTCAACCGAACCGGTGAAATTTACGAATGCAATAAGTGGACTTTTGATGGCTTTCTCTGCGTCACTATGTGACATATGTAAAATTTGGAACACATAATCTGGAAGACCGGCCTCTTTGAAAGCTTCAGCAAATCTCTCAGCACATAAAGGAGTCTGAGAAGATTGTTTCAAAATAACGGTATTACCTATTTCATGAAATTTTTATTAAGAAACCTATAATTGAGAAATAAAAGCCCGCATCGCATGCAAATGATCACCTGCAAGGAGTGCTGGTACAACACCGTTTACAGAAATGAGATACGGATAGTTCCAAGCTAAAAGATAATCAAGTTCCTTAGTTTTTTAGATATAACAGGTGAACTTTAATTGATCAAGACATCATCATACCAGCAATTATAAGAATTGGACCTGGAATACATAGGAGAATCTATAAGTCATATTCAAAATATTTTGAACTAACCACATTGAAAAGTAAATCACAAACCTAAAGACTCTTTTCGAATGAACCTTTTAAATCCAGGTTTATCAGAATCCGAGATTTCAACATCTTTGAGACTCTCCTCCGCAATTGAAATCATATAACGTGCACGTTCTTCTGTACCATTAATTTCACTGGGGGCATACTTAATTGGCCTAAATGAAATGTGTAAGTCTAATGAATTTTTGAATACCATATCATTAATTCAATTTATTTTTAACGAACCTTCCCATTTGTAAGGTTAATTCCATTGCAATGTTTTCTTTTTTGGCGACAAAAGCATCAACGAATTTGGACAAAATTTGAACACGTTCTTTGACGGGAACTTTTTTCCATGATTGAAAAGCTGCATATGAACGTTCGATTGCAGTATTAACCTCTTCCGTTGTAGCTAAAGTTCTAGTAACGTATGGTGAATTATCGACGGGAGAAATGGTTACTTGTTTTGCCATTGTCCTGTACGTTTAGACCTCGATTTGTAATTTTTCTAGATAACTAGGAAAGAAAATTTCACATGAATATCCGTAATTAAAGACAGATAAGTTCTTCCAATTATCACCTAAGAATTCAAATTATAAATGCGAAGATTCTATACAAAAAAAAAAATAATAACAATGACAAATTTCAAAACTAAGGAAATTTTTTTTTTGAAAAGAATTTTAATTATAGGAAAATTTAGTGTGAGAAAAATATTGTAGCTTATATGCATGATCATCGCTACACACAAAGATCCATGTGTTTTTAGGATTCAATTTCGTCATATGTTATGTATATATATATTTTTGTTGCTTTTTATAAAGAAGGTTTTGAGAAAAATTCCGTTTTATCGGAAATTGGAATCATCCTTCAATTATTAAAATAAGCAAACTTTTACCACAAAGTTATATTTAACGATTCTTCCTTTAAATGAAAACGCTTCAATTTGGGTTGTTAATTCTTTAATGTTCTTTAAAATGTATAAACAATGGAATAAAATATTTTACAAAAAATCTTGAGCGTATTTAATAAAGTATTCTGAATCGTTTGTATTGAACAAAGAGTTAGAATACTATCTAAGTCAACTTTTCATATAACCAAAAATACTGTGCGATAACGCATAAGAAATTTGTAAATAATAATCTATATATTAAAATTTTGTGATAGTCAATATTTTTAACGCCAATTTATCATTCTTTGTGTTCCCGAATAATAAAAGGTTGCAGCTTTTGCGCGTAAAAACGCTTATAAACAATACTTGACCTATATTCCTCGATTTCTTCGTAATAAGTTTTAATAAATTTATCATATTTGTCGCGTTTAGTGTTTTCAAATACCAATGCTGAACTAGCTTCCATGGTCATACTGAGGTATAAATGCATCTAAAATTATCATAGACATTTATAAAATTTTTATAAAAAAGAAAAAAAAATAAAATATAATGTAATTAAGATATTTTTTACCAATTCACCAAAATTTCCTCCCCATTTTCCAGCTGCAAGTATTCGCTTTTCTATATTAACTTCATCAAAACTTTTTGTAGAATCCATTATATCTTTTAATCTTAACGCTATTTCTAAAAATATGTTTTTTGATTTTAAATATTGACTACCTAAAACATACAGGTATAAGTAAATAAAAGGTCAAAATGCTTTAAAACGTTAAATTGATTTGAACTTTAGGCAAATTGTGCTTACATTTCTCATTAATACTTTTTACAATAGGTCCTGCATTAAGCAGGCAAGGTTCTACTTCCATAAATTCTGCATATCCGGAAGGTTTCAAAACCCTAACAATTTCTTTGTAACGACAAATTTCTTAATTTTATATAGTATAACGTAATAAATCTTGCCTCTAAAAAAAAAAAATTTTTTTACCTTTTACCACTTGTAACCATTCCTTTTTAGAGAAGGCAACGTATAGTAATTTTTGATGTACAAAATCGAAAGTGTTTGACGGGAAGGGAAGTCCTTCGAGCACATTGCATTCGATAAATCCGGCATTCTTTGGTTTGTTTTCTGTCGGAAAAATTGGAGACATGTCTAATCCAATAAATGTACTGTTTGGGTAATCTTTCGCGTTTTCGATAACCCAGTGCCCCGCTCCACATCTAATAAATTTTGAATCTTTTTTTTTTTTTTTACTTCGTTGAATTAATTATTTAAATTATATATATATGCTTACCCAACATCTAATACGGAAATTCCATTCCTTAATTTGTCATGCACTGGAGAAGAGAAATTACCACCATATGCACTTTTTAACAAAAGATGAGATATTTCCAATCTATTAATTTCTATTCCATCATTAGGGTATGTATATTTTGAAGAGACATTATGAAAGCGTCTATTATTGATGAATCTAAATTTATCAAGGATATCTTCAAAATCTTGATCTTGGAACCTCAATAAGGATCGTGACATTTTGCGAGATTCTTCCCTATTATTATATGTATCGACATTCATGATTTTATATTATATTAGTTAAAGATTGACAAAAAAGAATTGGTTAAAGGTAAACCTTTTTTTTTTTTTTTTTTTTTTGAATTTGAAAGTGATTAGAATGGTTAGAGCCCATTTTTATTTTAAAATTTGTTGCATGTTTTCCGAATGCTCAACAAATAAAAAAACCATTATAATATTTTTTTGTCTTACCGAGAAAATGATTACATGCAGGGGGGAAATTCACAAACTGTAGTATTTCTTCGGTGGTTATAAATTTGGAAATTTTCCTACTACTTGCGGTTTCACATTATCCATTGCGATAACTGAGAAATAAAATATTCGGGAATTTAACTATAATAATATGCAATTTTATCGGGACTGTCTGAAAATAAGAAATCCAAGTTTTAATAAATAACTTTTTTTAGTTGAAATGATGCACAGATTATAAATAAGTTTATATTATTCCGTAATTATGGTAAAAGCGGTTTGTTATTGGTTTTCAAAGGAACAGATGTTTCGCGCCCTTTATGTCATACGGAAAATTGTATCACTTTTTCAGTAAGACCTAATTTGATTTTCTTTTAAAAAAAAAAAAAAGAGCATCATTACATAATAAATATAAAGACTGAATATATATATGATTTATTATTTATTGTATTACATTTTTCTATCACCTTTTGATGATGAACTCCATTTGTTTAAATAAATACAATTTGCTGCTCGCGTCAGCCTAGTTTCTCTTCGTATTTTTCTCTCAAAGGAAATATAAATATCTTTGAACTCCGCAAGCATAGAAATTTTTTACCATCTTTTTTCTTATTTTTTTTTGCAAGTTACATGAATTTAGATCGGGTTATCTGAATTCAAATATTATTTTATTTGTTTTTTTTTTTTTTTGACGTCTTTTTAAACAAATATCCCACTCCAATAATTTTCATCATAAGATGCCACCAAATTTACGAAAGATGTCACTAAATAATCGTGATTATTCTTTCAAAAATTTAAAATTTAAACGTTTCTTACATTTCATCAATAATAAAAATAAAGATGTTATTGGTGAAAATCATACAAACACGAGAAAATTTGATAGCGAAAATGAAAGGATTATTAATAGAGGTTTCACAGCACTCTTTGATCCTAATATAGAAACCGAAGATATCAAAGCAAATGTGCTACATTCGGTAACTAAAAAGGTATGGGGAGGAAATTTTTCTTCACCGATTGAAAATAGATTAATTAAAGGCGTTAGAGTACTTGATGTTTGGTACGTTAAAAAAAAAAAAAAAGATAAATATCTATATTTATATATTTAGTCACGTACAAACTTTCTTCATCTTTATATTTAATTCATTCGTTCTTTCAGCTGCGGGCCTGGCTATTGGGTATTAGACATGGCAAAAACTTATCCAAAGAGCACATTCATAGGAATGGATATTTCACCAACATTCTCTGAAAGAGAAAAGATGACTAATGTAGCGTTTTTGGAGTGTAATGTACATGATGGTTTGCCTTGGCCAAATGATACATTTGATTTCGTTTATCAAAGATACGCTTGGGCAAGTTATAATGAAGTCCAATGGAAAAATATCATTTCAGAGATCACAAGAGTTTGTAAACCAGGAGGGATGATAGAATTGATGGAATTTGATTGGGAATTTAAAAACAATAGTCCAATTGCTATGAACTATCAAAAGCTTTGTACGTATACATATAGTTTTATCTTTGTTTTACGAAGATTAAATTTTTATAAATGTTAATATCTTTTTTTTTTTTAAAAAAAAAAAAAAAAAAAAAAAAAAAAAAAAAAAAAGGATATATTATTATAATTATTTTTTTTTTTAAATGGTTTAAATCGCTCGAGATCTTCTCAAGTTCCTGT